GGAACGCTAAGCAAATATCACAAACCCGTGTTTTATAGAAAGCTGCTGTTTTGCACTGGCGCCCTCAGCCCCATCTAAGAGTTCTCTGCAGACCTTATCACGAAGCAGCATTTGCCTGGCCCGGCAGGGAGACAGCTCTGCTCTGTGCGGATCTGGGTGATGATGTGCCCTTATTTGACCCTACAGGCTGGCAAGGCCTGGAAAATGTCAGTGCACACTTCCTTCTACAGTTTTCAAGAAGTTTCCTTTGCTTCCAGTACACTCTGCAAAGTGCATGCTGGGACTGGTGGGGCTGTTTCTTGTTGTCAAATCTCTTTAAGATGCGCTTTGGGCATGATGCATGGTGTTTCATACCTACCACCCAGGCACCTGGGAGGCTGAGGGAGGAGAATGTCCACGAATTCAAAGCCAGCCTGATCTACATGATGAGCTCAGGGCTAGCTAGGGCTGCAGAGTGAGAAGCTGCCTCAAAAAACACAAGGCTGGGATGTAGCTCACCTGGTAGAGGGCTTGCCTACCGCGCGTAAAGCCCTGGGCTCCACAGTCCCAGCACGACACGGGCAAAGGCACGATGAAGATCCTGCTTGGGGAGGCAGGGAGAGCAGAAGTTCGTTAACTCTGCCTACACAGCAAGGTCAAGGGCGTTTAAAGATAGATAAAACTCCCAAGTGTCTCCCCACCTTGGCAGCTGCTCTCCAGAGCTGGAAGGGCTCAGAGCCCTGTCCCCCTTACGGGCGGGCGAGAGTGTGTTTGTGGCAATCACCTGTGCAAGGCTGTTCCACTTCTGTGTTCACACTCTGTGTCCCCATGGGCAGCCATCTCAACACTGAAGATGGAAGTGACAGCTGTCGCCGAGTACAAAATTATTTTTGTCATTTGTTTTGAGACAAGGTCTCAAGGTTGTATATGCTGGTTGTAATTCTAATTTTTATACTTGATATCTGTTCTTATTGTATATAGTTTTGTACTGGGTTTGGATCACTCTTATTTAAATAAAAGGGGGGGTGCTGAGGGAGCTCCTTAAGCCTTTGAGATGCTGGTGGCTTTGGGTATTATATAAACAGATGTAGAAGCGTGCACATCTGTCTTGGCTGCTGGATTCGGTTCCTGTCCCTGCTCGTGCAGAGGATTGTGATCTGTGAGTCTACCCCTAAATAAAGAATGCTTTATTATACTCCATTCTGGGCTAGCGCGGGACTACTTTACTGTAACCGCCAACAACGGAGGAAGCATAGTTGTACACAGATGAGGTGATGAGCCTCGGGCAGCACACAGATAATAGAAATGGGTTCGTTTAAGGTTTTTTTTTTTTTTTTTTTTTTTTTTAAGCTAGCTAGAAAGAAGCCTGGGCTAAGGCCAAGCATTCATAATTAATAAGCCTCTGTGTCATGATTTGGGGTTGGAGATCCAAGAAAGCAGGCTACACAGGAGCTGTTTAGGGAAGGGGGTCTGATTCAGTCTGTTTTCTGTTGCTATAAGGGAATACCCGAGAACTGGGTCACATAGAAAGAAAAAAGTTCAATTAGCTCAAAAGTTTAAAGGCAGTGAGGTATCTACTATCACAGCACCTGATTAGTTTCTGGTGAGACTTCGTGTGGTTTGACTCACGGCAGAAAGTGAAACCACGTGGGACACACAGGCTTTAAACGTACTCGTGAGGTCACTAATTAGGTGTTTTTTTTTTTTTTTTTTTCAACTTGACACAAGCTAGAGTCATCCGGGTAGAGGGACCTTTGAGGGATTGCCTGGAGGCAAGTCTGTGGGACCTGTTCTTGATCCCCTGCTGCTGTGTGGGAGCCCTGCCCACCAAGGGTGGAGCCACCCCAGGACAGGTAGTCAGGAATGGGAAAGCAGGCTGAACCAGCCACAGGCTTAAAGCCAGTAAGTAGCACTTCTCATGGCCTCTGCTTTAGTTCCTGCCTTGAGTCCCTGCCCTGCCCTTCCTCAATGGTGAAGGGGCGGACTGCAAGCTGTAATAAGCCTTTTCCTCCCCAGACTGCTTCTGGTCATCCTCTATCGCAGCAGAAGAAAGCAAACTAGGGCACTAATAAAGTCTTAGATAATCAGCCCACAGGAAAGCCCTCTCCATCACCACCATCACCACCCACGATGACATTAGCGGTCCAGCTTGCCTCTGCATTTTGACTGGCTGTGGTTTTCTGTAGTGGTCTCCATCTGCTGCAGAGAGAGGGGTGGGTGAAGACTACACTTCCCTGTGGGTATAGGGACAAGTATTTAGATTATAGTTAGGGATCGGGCTGGCTTAGTAAAGTGTTGTAGTTCTTTTACATGTACGCATGGAACAGCAATTGAAGTAGAAAGGCCATGAATTTGAAAGAGAGCAAGGAGGGGTATGAGGGAGGATTTGGAGGGAGGAAAGGAAGGGAAAACAACACAAGCATAATTTTTAAAATCAAAGAAATAATAAAACAATTCAGCATAAGAAGTCTTCTCTTGGGCCACCAAAAAGCTCCCAAACCATGACATGGAGACAATATTATGAATGCTCGCCTTATCTTAGGTTTGTCCCACTAGCTCTTATAACTTAACAGGTTTCTCTTCATCTATGTTTTGCCTCAGGGCTTTTTTACCTTTCTTTCTTCTGTATGTCCTACTGTGTCTGCCTGGCTGGCCCCAAGTGTCTCTCTCTTTCTCTCTCATTCTTTTCTCCTCATTCTAGATTCTTCCTCTTATTCATTCTCTCTGCCCTCCAGTCCCGCCTATCCCTCTGCTTCTAGCTATTGACCATTCAGCTTTTTATCAGCCCAATCAGGTGCTTTAGGCAGGCAAGGTAAAACAAATTCAGCATATATTTACATAATTAAACAAATGCAACATAAACAAATCTAACACATCTTTTCCTAGTTAAGGTAATATTCCGTAACATAAACAAATGGAATATATCTTTACATAGTTAAAGTAATATTCCACAGCAGAGGTCAGATATGTGGCTCAGCTGACAGTCTAACATGCATGAAGCTCTAGGCTCAATCCCAGTAGCACACAAACGGGGCAAAATGGCACACATCTGCAATTGCAGCACGCAGGAGGCGAAGGTGGAAAAATCAAGATTGAAGGTCATTCACTGCTACACAGAAAAGAGGCTTGCTCGGAGTGAGCGAGGCTGTCCAAACAACAACAGTATCCAAGGACATAGGGTCCTTGCAGAGATCTGGGTCCCCACCACCTTCTGCCTGGGCTGGTGACTTGGCCAAGGGTGACTGTCTCTCAAAGCAAGGAGTGGAGGTTTCTGATTAGGAAGGAGCTCTCCCTATGGCGAGACAGGTCTGTCTGTTCTTTCTAGGAGGTGAAGGGAAAACAAGAAGGTGCAGAGCGCCCCGGCGGGATGACACCAGCTCCCTAGCCTTGAAGTCCCACTGCCAGTCCAGCTCCTGCGCAGACTCTGTTTCATCCACGGCTGAGGCCCTGCCCCATCCCTTACTCCTACAGTGCTTTGGCTGTCATTCTTTTTCTGGAGGTGCCATCATGCTGAGGGCTAGGGCTGGAGGTGGGGCCAAATATTTGTAGCGAATCTGACCAGAGGGTTGCCACAGCAGGGCATGGTAGTGTAGGTATGCCTGTGAACTGCTACTTGGGAGTTCAGGGCCAGCCAAAGCCACAGAGCAGGACCACAAAGCCTGCCTCTCCTTAAGAAGAGAAAGGCTAAGTCACAACCTCCAGGGACAGAGGCTGTTTACTGTGCGGATGAGAAACGGAGCCAGTTCTGGTGGTGTTGACCTATAATCTCAGCTACTCTGGAGGTTGAGGCAGGATTGCAAATACAAGGCCTTCCTGGGCAATTTAGTGAGACTCTATCTCAAGAACTGAAGAGCTGAGGCTGTGGCTAAGTGGGGATGCTTGGATAACACGTGTGTAGGCCATTTCAACCCCCGAGGAGCTCGGCAAGGTCACAGGGCTTACAGTCACTTGACTTCTGAGGTCAGGGCAGCGTCCTGATGGTTCCACCTAGGCTGGACGCTTGAGTCCTCATCCTGGCAACAGGCACAGACGGTTGTGAGTGGCGCTGGAGTAGGCCTGTGCTTCTGCACGGTTAACCTCCAGCTACACAGCACAGCCACCAGATGTTGACAATCCTCTGCGACAGTAATGGGGCTGTCAGTCCCGGAGGGAGGGAGCTCAAGGTCTCGCCTATGGACGATGCTAAGCTCCTGCTGGCCTCTGGCTATGAGTCTTGATGTCTCTGCAGTCCTTCCTTCCAGGTCAGGATGTCAGGCTGTTAGTGATCACAAACCCCCAGTTTCTCAACTCCAATCTTACCCTGTTCCAAGGGTCACTGCCTGGAGTTTTTCTTCCTATGAGGAAGTCTTCCCTGGGGGAGGTGGAGCCCTGCCTTGGCAAAGGGTCACACAGTTCCCAGCAGAGTCTGAGACAGTGCCAGGCCAGGCTGGCCCTTGTATAAGAATGGCTGTCCCTGTGTGGTATATACGTGGCAGACAGGTCTTTTGTGGGTGAAGAGACTTCAGTCTAGAGGCAATACAGAAAATCATTCCAGCACCTCCTGTTGGTCCCCAAACCAAACTTGTGCACACTTGGCTGGATATAAGGACTTCTTAGTTGTCCTTTTCTTAAAATTTACTTACTTACTTACTTACTTATTTATTTATTTATTTATTTATTTATTTATTT